ATTGGTTGGCAGGCCTGGTGCAAGGTCTAGAGTGCCAGACTGAATGTGGCCTTCATTTCGTGAGTAACAGACACTCAGGTAAGCATTCAGAACACGGAGGGGCACAATCATAGGTGTATTTTAAGGGAACCAAGTGTATGACAGTGTAAAATTAGCCAGAGCATTTATCAGAAGAAACTGGGACTCTATTATATTTGCTGTCTAGTGGATACTAAGGAAGCTGGGTACAGACTCAGGCACAAAAGGAAACCTAGACAAAAGAACCAAGAGAAAAGTCTGCATTCCTTGCGGATAAAGTAGGCTGCTGTGAAGAAGAGGCTCGGAGGTGTAACGTGGTAATATAGAGTTGTTCCCCTCTCACCCACGCCGTAGACCAGGACTAGTCTAGGTGGTTAGATTGAGCCAGACTCCTCACAGTTATTCACGGGCAGACACTGACCGCTATGTTGACATCTCAAGGAGGTTTCTAAAATTGTCTGAAAGGCTGGTCATCCCAGTAAGTCACTGTGGCTGAAGAAACGAGTTGATCCCTCCAGGTAGATATGAGGGACCCTGCCTGGAACCTCTGCTCCTGGTCTTTTCTTTAGTACTTGCTTTCACGGCCACTCCCAACTGCAAGGGAAGCTGGGAAATTAGATCTAGCTATATGTTCAAGAAGAGGAAAAAAATGATTTTGATGAATGGCAGTCTCTGTCACGATGACCAAGAAAAGAAATTTGAAAAATGTCAGGATATATGGATTAAGGAGAAGAGGGAAAATCAGAAAGTGAAAGCAACATGATTAAAAAGAAAAGGAAAGAAATACCTACAAACTCCTTATCATGGGCACATTCTTGACATATTTTGTTCATGCGCTGAACTTTCCCAGTGACCCTGGGATAGAGGAGCAATTATTTTTATAATTTTACTGATAAATGAACTGGGGTTTAGAGAAATGAGAGGGTCCTGAATCGTGTGACTACTAAGTAGCCTATCTACTTTATAACAGAGCTCATGTTATTAGATCACACTAAGGAGTCAGAAGAAATGTAGAAAGCAAGCCAAATCCAGTCATGTGTTAGTTCATCCTAATGCTGACAGCACCCAGGTATCCTCCATGCAGAATTCAGGAGTCCTTAGGACCACTCTCACTTCTAACATTAGGTAAGATTTAGGAATCTCTGAGACTGGACTGAGGATGAAGAATTCACTAGGTAAGAATGCGTAACTCAGTGAAAGCTGTTAATCTCACTGTTCTGGAGCATCACCATGCAAACGAGGAGGGAGGAGGGAGCATGCAGTGTGGGTAGAAGAGGGGAGAAGGGGAGGGGGGAAAATGAAGGGGAGCCAAGAAAAATGTATAGCTCAACAAAAATAAAGAAAAATAATAATAAAATAAAAAAGTATGTCATCATATTTTTGCATGCCTCCACTATGTTGGACTTCCACGTGTTATAATTTATGACTTTAACCTAAAGGACATAAAATAACAGTAATTTTTCCTTTCTGCCTCTAGCAGTTAGATGTGACAAAAATATGTATTTACTCATTTATTCAATGATTTTTTAGTTTTATTTTTTTAAGTGTATTGAGGTTTACTATTGATCATACAGCAAGTTGTTGTAAATATAATGCTTTTATGGACCTTAAAATCTAGTATGTAAGGAAATGTCAATCAAATAATTATGCCAACATATGAATAAGTGCCACTTAAGGTAGATAGTGAAAAAGAAACATGAAACATGACAGAAACTAGCAAAATAATTTGACTTGGGTTATGGGGCATTGAGGACTTGTTAAGGAAATAACTGTTGATCTGATGACCAAGCAGCTACAAATAGAAATTAGGCATATAAATTAGTCCAGAGAAAGGTAAAGGATGTGGGTAAAGAAAAAAAATGTGTAGCGAGCCATTTTTGATGAGAATACCTGAGCAAACCCAGATGAAGTGAGAAACACACAATGCTGACATCAAGTTTATACAAGGCTTCAGCACAGGACAGCAAGTTCAGTGGAGTTGACCTGAGACCTTCCACTCTGCTTGAGAAACAGCAAGGAGAGCAGGGTGCCTGTCAGTCAGCTCCTGGATAGAAGCATAGCAGGAAAAGAGGCGGGAAGACTAGGGCTTGAGAGACCACGAATAGGAAGAGAACACAGAGACACCCAAAGACTATGCAAGAAAGACTTAAGGTTCTTCCATCAACATGAGTAGCTAGCAAGCAGACCAGCCACTTGACCAGGTTTCTATTTTGAAGCTAGATAGAAAGGGAAAATTAAGGAGACGTAGGTAGGAAAGGTAGCCCCTCGTGCAGGAATGTGGGTGTAGTCTCTCTCCAGCTGAGAGTCAGAATTCCAGCACTGTTAACATTTATTCTGAAGGCTGCTCTAGAGACAATGTTCTGGTAATAGAAAGATGCTACAAATTCAAGTGCTAACACTACAGGAAGTCATGCACAAAGGCCTAAGCGAACATGACCTTTGAGTGTGACCTTTCACTTTGCCCACTAGCTTACGTTCAGTTTTCTATGAAATCTCACAAGCATCCTCTCCAGTAACCCTGTAATTGACTCATGATTTACCTTGTTAATTGGCAATCCCATCTCAGGCACCTCTGGACGTACCCTCTCATATCATTTATTGCAAAGGGAGAAAGGGGAAGAATAAAGATCCTTAGCAACTACTTGAGATTAAGTTGAGAGCCACCAAAATCATAGTGGTTCACTCGTGCCTGTAACCCCAGCACTTGGGAGGCTGAAGCAGGTGGAGAAAGTGTTGAAAGCTCATCTTGAGCTGTATAGCAAGTTTAAGGACAGCCCGAGCTACATGAGATCCTGGCTGAAAAAAAAAAAAAGAAACCAAATTAAACTGAGCAAATCATATTTATGACTCTTGCTCAGAAACTTAAGATCCAGTGTCTCCCAAGAAGCCTGTTTATACTTGAGTATGTTTTATCCCCACACATACACCATGTCACTCTGTTAATGTCTGTGCTAAAGTCTGTTAAAAGGCTCTTCTTCATGAACTCCAGCTCTGTTTAATTCTGGCTTACCTAAAATTCTTTGCTGCAGAAAACTCCCGCTTCACCTCAGTAGCGGTCTCCACATAGGCTGAGGCAGGGAGCAGCAGAGAAGTAGAAAGTCTCAGGCTTTAACCCACAACTACTGCTGATACTGCATTGTGAAAAATAGATCATGAAGGTGGACACAAAAGCAGGACACAGGCACTGGAACTTTACCCTGTAAGCCACAGCTTTGTGGCGATACACAGTTTACTAGAAATGGGTTAAATTAAGATATAAGAGTTAGCAGATAAGAAGCTAAAGCTAATGGGCCAAGCAGTGATTTAAATAAAAAACAAAAACAAAAGTAGGGATACTAGGTGTGGTTGGCTATTGAGATGTTCTAAACCAGAACTAGAGGTAACAGTAGCAGTGCTGGGAAGTAGCTGGACGGACCTCAGGTGCATTTTGAAATTAAGATGAAATAAGATTAGTTGCAAATAAGAGAGAGCTATAGGAGGGCTTCAGAGTTTTAGCCTAAATAGGAAGAATGGTAATGCCATTTACTGAGAATCTAAGACAAGGAAGAGCGTATCAGTGGAGGAAATCACATTCTTGACATCATAAGAATTTAAGATGCTTATTAGGTCTTCTGGGGAGATGCTGTGGGCAATTGTTTATGAGTGAAACTCAAAGAAGAGGGGTCATATTAAGTTAACAAGTTGGAAGGTAACAATTTATTCAACAAGTACCAAAGCCACAGGCATTGATTTCCCATCATTTTCAAGCCCAAAAGGTACAAGGACAAGGTGCTGGTACACTGAGTACCATCTTCCCATCTGGCAGGTAGATTTCTCTTGCTGTGAACTCAGATGGTTCTTCCCTGCTGCAGGAGTATGCAGAAAGGGGAGCTCTCTTGAGTTCCTTCCTTTAAGAGCATTGATTCCATAGCGAACGCTCTGCCTTCATGACTTGATTGCTTTCCAAAGGCCTGTCCTAAAACCATCATGCTGTGAGTTAGATTTTAATATATGAACTGGGCACAGGGGCATAGTTCAGCCCACAGTATCCTCCATCAAAAGAGAGCTAGCACTTGTATTTCTGATATGGAATAAGATAGAAAACGGCAAGGCTTTTCCTATAAACTCCATAGGCTTAGTCTCATGTTCCTTTATGGTTAATCTAATATAGCGTTTTCTCCAATATTTCATTCTTTCAGCAAATAGACAGAATATACGATTAGTACATAAATTCATGTTCTCTATAGCAGTGTATCAGAAGAAGACCGCAGAATCCTGTTTGCCAAATGACCGCCCTCCTCTCTATTGTACACTGCACATTTATGGGTAAAACAGGGCTGTGGCTCATTGTGTCGTACATCACAGCAGCCCTGCTCTCCATCAGAAGTGCGTATTCTTAGGCAGCAGACAAATTACCTAGTTAGTAAAATTTAGAACTGAGTGGGAGGCCTCACCAAATTAGCAGCATGTTTGGATTAGTAGAAACGCAGTGTGCTGCGAGTCCAGAGAGGCAAGCTAAGTAAAAGTGCATTGTCAGCCATTCTTACCTAAAGCATCTTAATACTATCATCCTCTTTCTTAGCTAATTCACTAAGTAGAGGAATTGTTTTTATATCTAACTTTGTCTCCTGTGTCACCACATCAACAGTGTGGAGTCTGGGTAATCAAGCTTTTACATGGAGCCCTTCAGAGTTGCCTTTTCCACATTCGCTGAAAATGGTTCAAGATGATACATCCATGAATAAGGCCTTCACAGATTTCATAGCTATCATGGCTATCGATGAAGGTTCCCAAACACCATTTTCCCTTTCCAGAGTTTTCATAGGGTCAACTCCAGCCAGAATTTCCATACATAAGGTCAGCCCCAGCAGTGTCTTTGAAGATCCCAGCTCCAGGGACTCACTAAGTGTCTTCCGTTAAAAAAATAAATAAATAAATCCAGAGTTGAAGTTCCTCCCTTGGTGCTCAAGAGAAAACTGAAGTGGGCGGGTCTTGTCTTACAGGAGAATGCTGTGAATGGGGAGCACCTGTGGCTGGAGACCAACGTCTCGGGCGACCTCTGCTACCTGGGGGAGGAGAACTGCCAAGTCCGATTTGCAGTGAGTATGTCCCACGGTACCCATTTAGTCTTCCCCGGAAACAGAGGATGTCTGCGGATGGCGGGGATGGAAGGAGAGTGGTTTCCAGATGTCCTAGGATGGGCTTGGAAAGGCTCTATCCTCATGGCATACACCTTCTTGCTTGCCTTTAAGGTTTACAGCTTCAGAATCAAGCTTTCATAGCTCCAGGTTGTCCATTCTATTGACTTTAAGGCTTCGTTGGGTAGGCTACACATAGCATAGTATGATGCCCAGCGCCACAGTGGTCGTGAGGGTGTTTTGGGAAGGAGTCAGAGAAGAGGTGAATGTAGAGGAGGAAAGGTTATTCATGGTGGCTCATGGAGTGGCAGAGGCCTGTGTGGAGAGGAAGGGGGCAGGACAGTGGCTATGGGGCGTGGGATTCCCTTGATGTGGGTGGAAATGGCTGTGTGGGGTGTAGATGAGGTTTGCCTGTCTCCATACTGAGATCTGAAGAAATGATTTGATAAATCAACAGCCAGGTGAGTAGGGGCAGCTTTTGCTTATTAAAACTCACTTTGTGCCCCTATTTAGTGCAACCTATGTAGGGTTTAAACTTATCTTCAGGAGCTAGGTATGGGAGCTCTTACCTAAAATCATAGCACCGAGGAGGAAGGTATAGGATGACAGATTTGAGACCAGCCTGGGTTACATTGTTACATAATTTCGTTTTTCTATTACTGTGACAGAACGTACTTTAGGAGTAATGTTGTGGGAGCTGCGGGCTGTGTTCCTGCTGCCCCAGATCCTGGTCACCTGGCTAGCTTATGCCCCGAAATAACAACACACAAACTGTATTCTTTTAAACACTGCTTGGCCCATTAACTCTAGCCCTTACAGGCTAATTCTCATATCCCGATCAACCCATCTCTAATAATCTGTGTAGCATCAGTCTTACTGGGAAAGATTCAGCATGTCTGACCTGACAGCTTGCTTCATGGTGTCTGCCCAGGAGAGGGGAGCATGGCCTCTGAGCCCACTTCCTCTTCCTCCCAGCATTCTGTTCTGTTTACTCCTCCCACCTATGTTTTAACCTATGAGGGCCAAGCAGTTTCTTTATTATAATTAACCAATGACCTTCCTCCATCAGAGTAAAGGTTTATTAAGTTTACAATTCCAGGTCACAGTCCACCACTGTAAGGGAGTAAAGGCGGGAGCTTAAAATGTCTAGTCACACACACAATCGAGAGCAGAGAGAGAATGTGAGCCTGCATACTTATTTGTTCTTAGTCTCCTTTCTACACTTGTATTGTCCAGGATTGCCTGCTTAGGGAATGCTGCCACCCACAGTGGGTTGGGTCTTCCTGCCTCAGTTAAAGTCATTAAGACAACCCCACAGACATTGCCCACCAGCCAACCTGACCTAGACAATCCCTTATTGAGGTACTCTCTTCTCAGTTGTTCCAGATTGTGCCAAGGTAACAATTACAGTTAAACATTAAATTATAGGAAGACGGAAGATATAGCTCAGTAGTAGAATATTTGCTGAGCATGTATAAGGCCCTAGGTTTGATTCCCAATGCTGAAAAAAAGAAAATAAACCATGAAGAAAGATCAGTGACCATATAGTAAGTCATGGAGCCACTGAAAGTTTCATGTTGAGAAAGTAGAATTAATTTTTGCCTACATTTTAAAAATTAACCCAAAAATAGAGTGACAGAAAAACTTGGAATAGTAAAGAACAAAGAAGAGAAGACTTCCTTCCAATTTAAGAAAATGATGTCATAACATATAGAGGATTTTTATTTTATTTTTATTATGCATGAAAATGGTCTGAGGAAAATGTAGGGCAATCAAATAATATGTGAATGTGTTTCTGTAGCAAAGAAGACTGAGCTTCTGTAAGAGCTTCTAGAAGAGAAAGGAGCCTGAGGGCTTCTGGGTTGCTAAAACTGCCAAGTCTCAAAAACCAACACTTGCTCCAACACCATGGCAGCTTTGGTCCCCTTATTAGCAGATAATTGTTTAGAAAAACTGTGTGCTTTTTAAATGGAAGTCAAGTTTGTTTAATGGACATAGGGAACAACAAAAGGCCCTGGGGTGGCTCAGATGAGCAGGCTATGGAATTGAAGACTTGGATTTGAGACTCTGTGTTTCCAACCTCTGTGTGACATTGAGGATTCATGACTGTTGGGTCATGGCTACCTTCTAGACAGAAAAAGAGAGAAGGATTAAATTGCTCTTAATTTTGTTTCTAATTTGGATCTGTAATTAATCGTTTGCATTTTTTCTAATCTTGTTGTGAATTTGATTGATTTAAATACCAGCATTTTAACTTTATGCATATGTAGTTTTAATTAAAGTATAATTGCATGGGGTTTGATTAAATTAACCAAATCTCTGAGAAGCTCAGCTGTTTGGACTAAAATGCTATAAATAATGAATTAACATGAAGGTCTTAGATAATTGTATAAGCATTGGTCTTGGGATAGCAGATAATATGAAATGGAAGAAAGGAAGGTGAGCTTTGCGTTGCACATACACTCTATGGATACAACAGGTGGACCGGCTCATTACCTAGTTCCATCCCTCTCCAGACTGCTCCCCTTGGTCCTTTTCTGGGCACTCATTTCGGGACAGCTGCTTGCCACGCTTCTCTTGACAAATATATGAATTAATGATAGGCACCTCCTTTTCCCAGCATGCCCCTAGGTAGGGCAGGCTAATCTGGAACTGACTGGGTAGCTGGTGCTGAGATCCTTCTGCCCCAGTTGCCCTAGTGTGGCAATTACAGGTGTGCCATCACACGCAGTTCCATCCTCCTCCTCCTCTCTGAGCACAGTTAGCGTTTCTATCCATCATTGCTTGGCGACCAGGACGTCTAGGCCAGGAGAAACGCAAGGCAAGTAAGGAGGATGCTAGCAGGCGATCCAGGGTGGGGCTGTGAGAACTCTGTGCCCTTTCACCTCCATCTTTGAGTTTACTACAGGCATTTAGCCCTCTCAACCCCATTTTAAAAATGTCAGCAAGATGAAGTGCTATCTTCCGAAAAGATGTTGCTTAAGCCAAGTCACAAACAAATGAGGAGATAGGAAATGCCCCATGTGTTTCCTCACGGCAAGGTCCTTACTGCTACTCAGTGGAGTCTCCTCCCCTGCGAAGTGGGGAAATGCTGTGCGAGAATCTGGTGCAGTGCACAGGCTGGATGCACTTGGCAGAGGACTGCCGTAGTGAACAGGAACAGACAACACACTAAAGGAAATATGTTGCCAGTCTATGTATGAGACATAGAAACAAAGCAGCCCTGAGGAGGGAGTCAGCCTCATGGGCCTTTTTAATTAACCGAGGCTGATAAAGCCATGAGCCCTCCCAGGGCTGGTTTAGGCTGAGATGGCTTGTCACATGACCACTTGGTAGGAATGTGAATGAATCAGCGCATAGCTGGCGGTGTGCGGCAAAGGCATGCGGGACCTTCTAGCTCTCCACCCAGTTCAGAGTGTGATGTATGACCATCCTGAATGCCGCGCATTGGGAGAGACATTGGAATGCGATGGAAATCAACAGGAGAGTGACCTAGTTGGTCCAGGGTATAGAGCTTTTGGATAAAGAAAACAACAATTAAGGAGGGAATATGTAGAAAAAGGCCTACTGTTATTTAAAGAGTGGCTTTGAATTAAAGGAAAGTGACTTTCCATCCATAAGGAAGACAGAGAACTCCAGATTCATACCCAGTGTCTCTAACAGCGGTTATGACCCTCCAGTGAGCATACGGTCCCCCTGAGGTACTTGTGAGCAATTTTACTATTCGCCTCCCTGCTCCAGGTGCTGACTCAGCTCTGTCTGGAGCTGGACTTTTTTTTTTTTTAATTTATTTATTTATTAAAGATTTCTGTCTCTTCCCCGCCACCGCCTCCCATTTCCCTTCCCCTCCTCCAATTAAGTCCCCCCCCCCTCCTCAGCCCGAAAAGCAAGCAGGGTTCCCTGTCCTGTGGGAAGTCCAAGGAACCCCCACCTCCATCCAGGTCTAGTAAGTTGAGCATCCAAACTGCCTAGGCTCCCACAAAGCCAGTGCGTGCAGTAGGATCAGAAACCCATTGCCATTGTTTTTGAGTTCTCAGTAGTCCTCATTGTCCGCTATGTTCAGAGAGTCCGGTTTTATCCCAGACTTTTCCAGACCCAGGCCAGCTGGCCTTGGTGAGTTCCCAGTAGAACATCCCCATTGTCTCAGTGTGTGGGTGCACCCCTAGCGGTCCTGAGTTCTTTGCTCGTGCTCTCTCTTAGAGTACTACTCAGCAGTAAAAAACAAGGGCTTCTTGAATTTTGCATGCAAATGGATGGAAATAGAAAACACTATCCTGAGTGAGGTAAGCCAGACCCAAAAAGAGGAACATGGGATGTACTCACTCATATTTGGTTTCTAGCCATAAACCAAGGACATTGAGCCTATAATTAGGGATCCTAGAGAAGCTAAATAAGGAGAACCCAAAGAAAAACATATAGGCATCCTCCTGAATATTAACCTTCAGCAGGCGATGGAGCTGGACTTTTAAGCAAGTGATTTTCAAGAAGCACCTTAGATACTGTGGTGTGGGTGGTACACAAACCTGAGTCTACGAGTCTGTAGCACAGACTTGTTCATGTGGGTACTTAGGTGCCTGGAGACGTCACTCTAAGGATATGGATGTTTGGGTGTTCTGTGGATGACCATCTTGCGAGGATGCTGAAGAAAGGTGATGGGTCCAGAAGACTTCAGACAAAAAAAGATGCTCTGCTTGTAACTTCCATAGAAGTGAACACATTTTTGTGAAACAGCATGCACATATAGATTATGTATTAGATTTATGCCATCTTTGAAGAATGACTACCAGTTGGCATTATTGTAGCCAGGTACTACCAGCTGACTTCAGTCACAATAGAATGGCTTTCTGGGAGAGGAAGGCACCTGTCTCTGAAGACAGACCCTTCCCACCTCAACCTGTTTTACCACGTGAGGTTGACAGGGAAATCCCTGTGGCTACATGTGGACGGAGGCTGTTTCACAG